AGTCCCATCTTGTCAACAACACTTAAAACATTCCAGGAGGAATGGCACAGATTTCTAGTCGTATTATAAATAGTAATATTCCTTGCACTTGATACAGGATCTTTGGTTTGGGATACTCTTAGGCATGGTGATGGGTTTCTGCAAGTGTCAGAGACCGAACTGGCCCCCAAAAATATATAGCTATAGCACCTTATTGTGTTTTCAAAATCTTTCAAACTGCTTCACAGGATTTACTGTAGAGTGTAGTGATTGTGTTTTTTGTAGATGAACACAACAGCCAATTTGAGCACAGCAATGTCATACAACATCCACTTCAGCAGGCAGATGGGACCTTAGTTTAATGGCTTATGCAAAAATAGGTAACGATTGGATAATAAGTAGATATTTGAGTAAAACGCGAAACATCCTCAAAGTAAAGATCCCTTTGTAATGCTAATAAATATATCACAAACATTAGTGTTTCCTGGGAGTACAACAATCAGCAGTTGTAAAACCTTTAATATAAATAATTCTTTAAGGAGGTTAATCTGCGAGTGGAGAGAAATTCTACTTGGATCTAGTATGTCTGCATTTCAGAGCAAAATGCAAATTCTTGAATTCAGTCTTAATTCTGGCACCTTTTTTTAAAAGAGACTACAGCAAAATTAAGGCTATATTTAAGATTTTACCAAATTCTAGACACTCTAAAATGCTAGACCCAGATAGAATTTCATTTCTTTATCCCAGAGACTGTAGAAGTGTCTTATTGTAAAATCTTGGAGATCCATTTGAGTTCTGCTTATGTGTTTTTTAAAAAATTCTTTTAATGGTACATGGACAATTTTAATGTTCTTAATAGGCAATAAGAATCAAGAGATTACAGCTTTGAAGTGCGAATAACAAGATTCATTAGCATTGTTCCAAAGCATCATAAGCATTTTTTAAGCCTAAAGGGCTGCTTATGGAGAAGTCCCTTCTAATGCTGCTGTATTCCTAATTTTCATTCTTTCCACTCATTCCTCATTCATCTGTCAATGTCTAGTTTGTAAAATGATTCAGATTGTCCCGAGGGTAATGAAATACATTAGCTGCAAAGAATTGCAGGGAAAATCTAAAAGGAAATGTCTTGATTTCCTGTTCTGGTTGATGAAGGAAAATGAACCTTTTAGGGAAATGACGGGCTTGAAACGGTCAATGAAAGCAGTTAGCACCGGCTGCTTTTTGAAGCCTGCAGGAAATCCCGTGGAATTCCAAGTGATCTTAAGAAAACACAGGCATTTATTCTCTTCCACCTCAGATCACCTGACAGCATAACTTACTCTTCACCTCTTTGACAGACAGAGACTCTGAGCATATGACAGATGCAATAAACGTCAGCCTTGTTCTTCAGCTGCTATTAGACCACTGCAGTGACAAGTCCATTTCTGATATCTCTGGACCACCTCATGTGACCCTCTGACATTTTCCGATGTTTTTTGCATGGCTCTCTGATTTGAATGGCTGATAAGCTTCACTGCATTCAAAATAAATATCCCAGCGTTAAGTTAATATTAATCCTTGCATTTGGTACAGTTTCTTTCACATTGGGAGGACGTCTCAAAGCAGTTCACAGAATTTCCTGTAAAGTGTAGTTAATGTGTATTTTGTATTGCTCTCCATACGTGCAAAATGGGAATGGAGTTAAATAGCAAGCCATAAGTGTCAAAATTATTAAAACTGGATATCAGAGGCCTCGGAATATGTTCGATTCAGCTTTAAATTGGAAGCCAGGACAGAATATTGGCTTCCAATTTAAGACTGAATTTAAGAATTTTCCCAAATTCTACACAATCCTACATTTAAAGACAATGATCTTAACGCTAAGACCATGAGAAATTTCAGGCCTCTGCTTACATTTACTTTGGTCCAAAGCCTTGAGATCATCATTTCCCATTAATGTTTAAACATTTGCTGGGGAGGGTGCAAAACATAATTCTCATCCATATTTTAATCCATAGTTGTACGCATGAGGGAGAAGGAAAGGTTATGGGAGGATTTGGAGGAGTGGAGGCTCATGTAGGGCACAAACATATAGAGTATGTGGACGAGTTGGGTTGAATGGTCTATTTTCCTGCTTTAACGGTCTATTGTAATTCTATGTTATATGGCGAAGATGCAGACATTAATTATGTCTTTTGGATGATATCATTTGGAGTCATTTTACAAGGTTTAAGAAATCTGCTCAATGCAAATCACAATTGGAATTTTATGTTTTATTCAGTCTGATCTCAACTGCAATTATATGTGCGAGCCCAATATGCAAAACACTTAAATCAATTTGAGTTTTTGTGAAAAGCACATGACGATAGCAGTTTATTTTGAGGATTTTAATTATACACAATTAATTGCCTATTTGCAAGTTCTCAGTTACAAAAGAGACTTCTGAATAGAAAAATAATATAACTTGACACAAATTGTATGGAATTAGACAAAGAGAGTTTAGTTCTTGTACTAAAAAGCTATAAGAATGCAGTATTTGTTTTAAGAAGTTTAGATTCAAAAAAGGTCACATAGATGTCAGCTTGCTTCAGTTGGTAACATCTCCTCTGAGCAAGAAGGCTTGGTTTCAAGTCCCATGTTGGGACTTTGGGGACACTGTCTAGATTGACACTCCAATACAGGGCTGGGAGAGTGTTGTGTTGTCAGAGATGCCGTCTTTCAGATGAAGCAATAAACTAAGGCCCGTTGAGGTGAACGTTAAAGATCTATGGCACTACTCAAAAAGAGAAGAGTTTTTTTCTCCCATTGTACTGACAAACATTCCCCCCGTTAAAATGGGTCATTCATTTCAAGACTGTGTGTGGGACGTTGCTGTGCACTAAATGATAACTGCGATTGCCTACGATTACACAGTCACTATATCACACCTGAACCAAGCTGCCCCCCACCTCCTCCAAAAATGCTCGTTTCCATTCCCCACCCTTCACTACTCACTTCACTTTGCAGTAAATCTTGTGAAGCACTTTGAGATGTCCTTCTAATTTGAAATGCGCTATATCAAATGTAAGGATTATTATTGTTATTACTATTCCCAGACAAAATAACTATTCTGGAATAGGAAATTAGACCTTTAGGGAACAGAGTGAGAAATATCACATTCGATGAAGATAAATTGTTTCATTATCAATCGTATGATCTTGTTGGATTTTACATTGCAGCCAATTTGTACAACATATAAATCTAGCTGTAAATCAGGCTCATTCTTAGCTCACCTAAAAACTGATAAGAATTGTGTGAATATTTGAAATTCTAGTTGTTTGTCTTTAAAAAATAAATGTTGAAAAGAGGAAGAATGCTTGCATTTGATCTAGTGCTAATAATAATAATGTTTGCATTTGATGTAGTGCCTTTCACATCAGGAGGAAATCTCAGAGCCCTTCACTTTGACCCTATAGAACAGTAATTGTATTTTGTAGGTGAATGCGGCAACCAATTTGAACACAGCAATATTCATATTATTTCAACAGGAAGTATAACTTTCTCCAGTGGCTGACTGAGGGGTGGCCGGGCGGGGTGTAAAAGTCATATATGCTGGAGTATAGCATAATTTAATCACAGTCTATCCTGAGGTAACTGATTTTAGCTGGGACAGCAGATGGGGTGTTTGTATTTGCCTCGATGCTCCTGGTTTAAGAAGCGAAAATCCACTAAATTATCCACTCCTAATCTCTCTTTAGAGATCACTGCTAAAAGGTGTGTGTGTCTATATGTGTGTGGGTGTTGGGTGAGGAGAGCATCAAGCTCACTTGTCATGCCCCTGGGGCTGAACTGCCTATTTTGTGAATCTCTGCTCAGTTTGTAAGAGCATTTGTTTTTGAGGTGAGAGGTATCAGCACACAGGGTGCACATCGCTGCTTCTCTAACGCCATGTCATCCCAATCATCAATGAATACATTGCATGTTGTGAAGTTGTTCATTAAAACCTCTCTCCCCGCCACAGAATCACCTGCCATTTCCCAGCTCACAATAGAACAATCGCTTTTGACATCTACCATCTATGTGGGTGATACAGTAAAGTTCTGTTCTGTTGAGCGTTGCTGCTTTGTTGGTTATATAGTGGCTCATGATAGAAATTCTATGTTGCTGACGTCTCTACAGTTGAAGAGGCAGCAACCTGACTTTGTAATTCCAACAGCAATGTCAGCAATTAATAACAACCAAGAGCGCTTTGTGCTTACCTGACAACTCAACCAACGTCACAATTATTGTGCATTTCTTACAGTAAAAGGACAGGGCCTAGTTTTGTGTAGAGGGTTGTGAAGGGCACATTTACAACAAAGACTAGGAACCAACAGCTGAAATTTGATACTAGGAAGCGTAGTTGAGGCCAGGATATTGGACTCATTTAAGGAACAGTTTGATGCTACAATGGGAAAATAGTAGGGCTGATATTCTGAAAGGATCAGATCAAATGAGCTGAATGTTCATTTGAACATCTCTTGTGATCTTTGTGTTTCAGGGAGCAGAAGGTTGTAGGTTTGACACCAAGGCAAGGATGAAGTGCAAGATGACTCCATTTAAAAGGGCCACAGTTGAGCTTGGGTTTACTTACAGCATAGGTCTACTGTGGACCTGTCCTTTATCAGAAACATGGTTCCCTCAACACTAACTTACTGGCTTCACACATTAAAAAAAAATCTGCCTTCCAGTTCATAAGGATATTGCAGATGTCACTTCCACCACATGCACAGGACGTAATGATAGCAGTGACCTAATGACCAGGAAGGTGGCCATTTTTAGCATGCCTCTATTTAACATAGGATCTGATATTATGGACCCGGAACAAAATTTTACTGGCTAACCATGTAGGCTGAATAGATACCTACTGTGAATTTGAATGATATATCTAGATAGATGGGCTCAATGACTTTATTTTTTAGCTTCGCTCTAATTAATGTTCTTAGTGTGCTTTCAGAACAGCGGTGATGCTTTGCTGTGTTTCACCCAGGCTGTAATAATTCCTTTGGTTTCTTTTTGTTTAGACAAGCAACATGAGTGTGAAATGCCGTCACCCTCACAGAAAGATAAGGACAAGAAGAAGAGGCCAATGTCACAGATCAGTGGGGTCAAGAAACTCACGCACAGCTCGAGCTTAACAAATTCCAGTATAGCCAGGTTTGGTGTCAAAACTGACCAGGAGGAACTCCTGTCAAAGGTGTGTTTAATTCCTATCACTGTTTGGATGCTTAGTTTATGCAACTCACTTCCCGCACTTGTGCTGATCTGAAAAACAAAGACTAGGAAAATGTTTGAAATCAAATTGTCGCCATTTATTTACCAAGTTTTTAAATATTCGGGTCAACTGGCATTACCAGTTGCTTCGGCTTACCACTGCTGTCCTGATAGAAGTCCTGGATGAGAGCTAACTTTCTTCAGTTAAATGTCAACAAGACCGAGGCTCTCCTGATTGGCTCCTGTCAGCGCCTCCACACCTCAGGCGCTGACAGCATCACCATCCACTCCACCTTACTAAGCCAGTCCGGAACCTTGGCATCTTGTTTGACCCTCAACTATCCTTTCTACCCCACATCTATGCCATGACCCGCTCTGCCTTCACTGCAACATTGCCTGGCTTCGCCACTGTCTCACACCGCAGGCCGCCGAAACCCTCATACATGTATTCATAACATTGAGGCTTGTCTATGCAAACTCCTTGTTTGTCAGCCTCCCCAACTCCTCCCTCCATAGGCTGCAGATCATCCAGGCTCTGCAGTATGTGTCCTCTCCCGCAACTGGCTCCCCATCACACAGAGGATACATTTCAAGATCCTGGTTCTCACCTTCAAAGCACTCCATGGTCTTGCTTCCCCCTACCTCTGTGACCTCCTAACCCCCTACCAACCTACCCGCTCCCTCCGTTCAGCAGGCTCTGGCCTGCTTCACGTCCCCCGCCTCGTTCGCCCCACCATTGGCAGGTGGGCCTTCTGCCACTCTGCCCCCACCCTCTGGAACTCCATCCCTCAGTCCCTCTGCCTCACCACTCTTTTGCCTCCTTCAAAACCCATTTTGAACGTGCTTTCGATCACCCTGCTTCCCCCCAACCCTCCATCCTCCCCAATCCCGACCCCCAGCTCGGGTCCGAAACACTGACTGTCCAGCACCTTGGGACGTCCTCCCAAAGTGAAAGGCGCTATACAAATGTAATTTTGTTTTTGTTGTTCTATCGCCTGTGATATATTTGATTTTTGTTCTTTGGGATTTGATAAGAAGTGTTCCTGAGTTTCCAAAGGAAATGGCAAAATGCTATTTTACTGATCGCTCCACCCACAAAACAGCCAAGATGCTAACATTTAATAATGTTGCTAAAAAAATAATGAACTGAGTACCTAGTCAATGAAAAGCTTGGTAGTTATTTCTAATCGCTGTGTGGACAATCCTTGATTTGTGTGGAATTTGAGTACAGTATTTGTTCTTTAGAAACATGCAAAATTATATTTGTTTAATGTTGTCCTTAACATACAAACCTTTCTTGAATTTATGCTTTCTTTATTTCAGGAATTAGAAAAGGTTAACAAATGGGGCCTTAATATCTTTAAAGTAGCAGAACATTCTGGAAATAGACCTTTAACGGTTGTCATGTATACAATTTTTCAGGTGAGTTTGGAGTTTAGTCATCATGAACTGTTTGAAAGTGTTGTGCTTAGTGAGGTTTTTAGTTCTATACAGAACTGGTCAAGTGTCAACCTGGCTCAGTTGGTAACACTCTTGCTTCTGAGTCAGAAGCTTGTGGGTTCAAGCCCCAGGTCAGGACTTTGAACTCACAGTATAGGCTGACAACTCCAATACAATAATAAAGACAGAAGTCGCTGGGAAACACGCAGCAGGTCAGGCAGCATCTATGGAGAGAGGAAAATGAATTAACATTTCAGGTCGATAACCTCTCGTCAGAACTCCAATACAATACTTTGGGGGTGGTGGGGGTGTACCTCATTGTCAGAGGTACTGATCTTTGGATGAGGCATTGTAACCCGTACTACTAAGAACCTGCCTGGAATTTATATCCTTTGTGCGCTGACATATTGAGGACAAAGTCTACAAATGAACTGTTGTGGGAGGGGACAAAGTGGAAGCCAAGTATTTGCTAGGGTGGGAGTGCAAAGTAGGCAGAAAACTGGTGAGTGAGAAATCTGCTGTCATTCTCATGCATCTATTGGCAACCAGGCATAGAGCAGTATAGACAGAGGCGTCAGAGTAGGGCTTTCCCCTGCCTCCTTGCGGAACCCAATGTAACCTAAAATTTACAGGATGCGGAGAAGATAAAAAACATGGAAACAAAAATTGCATTTGTCTTTAGATACCTATTTATATTTATTCCAGGTTCTAAATTGAATCATTTTTTAACTGCTTTCAGGAGCGAGATTTGTTAAAAACCTTCAAAATTCCAGTAGATACCTTACTTACATACTTAATGACCCTGGAAGACCATTACCATGCAGATGTGGCCTTTCACAACAACATTCACGCAGCAGATGTTGCTCAATCCACTCATGTACTACTATCAACACCTGCATTGGAGGTAAGCAGAGCAGTCTTGTTAAATCACCAGTATTTCATTCCATAGTCAAATTGCTATCCTTTGGTAGAGAAGTGTAGAGAGATGCATTCAACAGTGTCATTGTTTCAGTGTCTGCTATCAAATTGATTTCAGCTAACTGCCATTTGAGAGATATAGCATAAGCTACAGTAGCATTGCAAAAATTTGTTCCAGGGATTGATCTGACCAGAAAGATCCCCAAAGTGGCCACATTGTTAGATTGGAACATCCTTGTAAATACCTTTAGAGCAACCTGGGTAGTTCAAATATTCCCTCCAAAACCAAAAAAAATAATAAATTGGTAATTTTCAATCCAAGACTGTTTGTGGGACACTGCTGTGCGCAATTGGCTGCCGCGTTTTACCCACAAATATATAGTCAAATCACTTTACAGCATATTCTGTGAAGCGCTTTGAGACGTCTGGAAGACGTGAAAAGCGCTATATTAAATGCAAGGATTATATTATTATTATTATTCATTTGTTTGAGTAGTGAACCTGAGATCAGAAGGCACGACTCCTGGGGGTTCAATTTAGTTCTTCACCCTTTAGGCTATGTTAAACTATTCTTTTTGTAGGAGGGAGAGGCAAGCAGAGACTCTTTAGGTTATGTTGGCTTTCTCTTGAACCCTGTGAGTAACAGATAAAAGTAGCTGGACAAGTCTCACAAAATGTACCGGTGCCTCTTATAGGATGTCTGATCATTTCTGTTTTTTAAGGAAAGGTCACCCAGTCTTTTGCCAATGCACATAAGTACAAAGTTTGCTTTGACTGGTTTACTTCACTTCATAAGGCCACCCCTTCTCGAATTACACAATACAACTTTGGAAGTGATTCAGGTTCTCCTATTACTGGAGACTTCTCTTTGATATCATGATGACGAGATCAGTCTTGATACGAAGGTAGTCCTGTTAAAGATTTCCTTGAGAAATTAAATAATAATAATCCTTGCATATGATATAGTGCTTTTCATGTCTTCTAGACATCTCAAAGCGCTTTACAGAATATAAGGTAAAGTGAATTGACTATATTTGTGGGCAAAACACGGCAGCCAATTGCACACAGCAGTATCCTACAAACAGTCATGGATTGAAGTGACTAATTTATTATTGTTTTTTTTCTTGAGGGATAATTATCAGGCATTTGGAGTAAGGAAACTTGCCCAAGGTTTTGCCTTGCCGGGAATCGAACACAGATCTCTCGCTTGTGAGGCGAGTGCTCTAACCAGGGAGCTATATGCTCTAACTGAGCTCTAGCTGGGTTTCTTTTCAACAGCCCAGCATGACACCAAATAAGTATTTTTGTGAGCAGTGATACGTAGCGCATTTGGAATAAAGCCATATAAATGACAGGCCAGTGAGTTAAACCTCCAGTAACCTAACTTCAGTGTCAGTAGATTCAGGTTTCTGCTGTCTTACCCGATACATTGAGGTGCAGTCATCCCAATATCACAGAACCTCAGAGAACAGAACTGTACCACTTCCAATTTCAATATTCACTGAATAATTCTTTTGTGGGTGGATTTTCACTCTGAATAAATAACACATGAATTATATTGGTTTGAGTCACACAAAAGGAAAAAAAATCCCCATAGCGTTCTGGGTTACCTCAATGAGTTGAGCGCAGGATTTAAGACTTGATTGTTTTGAGTTCGTATCCAGGGTTCTTTGAGCTTTTTTAGTTGATAAAATGAGAGTCCTGCCTAATAATGTCCTCCTGGGGGCATCTGATAAGCATGGTTTCATTTTAGAATGAACTGATACTGAATTGATCAAATGAAGACTTAGAGGCTTAGACACGGCCAACTCTGTGAGACAAAGCAATAAACAATAGCAGGCTGCACAGTTAGCTCATTCCACTTTTAATAAAACACTTATGATATCAGGCAACAAATAATCCCTGGTGTCTGTCCACATGGTCCCCTGAGGAGAGAGTGTGCACTCGTGTGCATATGTGGAACTCAGTCTAGTTTGGATACTGATAAACATGGTGATGGAATTCTCCTTGTGCCACCTATTCAGCTGACCAAGGAAAAATCCTAACATCAATTGTTGATTGACCTTTTGCTTATTTAATGCTTTTGCAGCTTTGAAAATACGACTACGCTGTACTTTATTTATAGCACCTGCCAAGATATTTTAATATTTAAGTATAGATGCTTTCTATTATCATAAAGTATTGTTCTTTCTAAATTCATTGTATTCTTAGACTAAGCTAGGAGAAAATTTATTTTTTTATACGTAGACTACTACAGCCTGAGGTCATAGACTTATTGATCAACACTAAAAAACAGTGCTGGACTGGAAGCATTAAGCAGTTTGCAATCCTTTCAGTGTGCTACATGTGATTCTTGTTTCTTTTTTCAGGCTGTCTTCACAGATCTGGAGGTCCTGACTGCAATATTTGCCAGTGCTATTCATGATGTTGATCACCCTGGCGTCTCAAACCAGTTCCTCATCAACACAAGTGAGTGCACTGCTTAATGTTCAACTGTTACAGGCCAGTAGAGTGCACACAATCCCCAGGGCTTTAGTTTGGATGCTCGCGTGGTGTACTTGGTTTTCTTCTGTTAAAATGATTTCTGTGGTGGAATTGACATCCTGCCCCTAAATGTATATCTCAGCTGTAACATTGTACAATTGTACCACTGTAGGAGCAGAAGACATCTGCTGCCTCCGAGGGAGATATGACGAGGCTCTACCCCTCTGACTCCCGCTCTGTCTGTCTTTAAATCCTGCCTTAAGACCTACCTCTTTGACCGCGCCATTGGTTACGCCCCTTCCCCCTCCCTTGCCCGATTCTTTAATTGTTTAGCACTCTGAGATATCATCCTACATGAAGGACACTATATCAATGCAAGTTGTTTTGCTGCTATGCATCTCTGGTGGGCAATTTTTGAGACATTGTGAGAGGTATGGCAGCAGGTCATCATTTCTCTCTCAGGGAGCAAAATGCGTTGTTGGGTTCTGTGAGTAACGAGTTTGAGCTGTTTCAGTTCAAATCCTAGTGGTATTCTTCTGACAGCACAAAATGTTGTTAATTCAGCACTGCTGTTCAACTAGCAAACTCACAGATACCATGAGATAGCTGGTTTGGGAGGTGCAGATGTCACCTGAAGCTATTCTAAGATTAAGGCACATTATAACCATCTCTGCTGTTCCTAATCTGTAGACTTGTTGACAGTCTGTCCCTGACATAGAAAACCTTTGAGCAATACCGTCCCTCACTTTGTTGAGCATAGAATTCACACACAAAGGATAAAACCAAAATGATCTCTACTATCACCAATGGTTCCCCACGCAGTCTGCTTACCAATGTGATTTTAGCTTGACCACAATTTCACTTTCCAAACCCCAGCTTGAGTGCCCAGACAATAAACACTCATCAGACGTCCTCCCGACGTGAACGACGCTATGTAAATATCAATTTGTACTGTATTGTAGGTTGAAGGAGCAGCAGTTAAATGGATGGTTGAGTCACTGTAAATTTCAGACTGTAAAAATCTTAAAAATTAATTATTTTTGGGGGGGGTTTAAAAAAATTATTTAAAATCCTTTCGAGGTCTGGTGGATTCTGTAAACTTGTTCCTGTGAGACATTCATTGGGGACAGCTTGCGCAGTCCCATGGCTACATAGCTTGCTAGTGACTCATGCTAACAAAAACAGCAGAGCAGACTGGTAATGCTGAAGACATCATGAGAATAACACGGACGCTGAAATGCTGAGGTGTTGGATGAGCAGATAACAAGCATTTAGCGATATTCACAGATCCCACAGCTGCTGACAGCTTTTCATTTGGAGGCAGCAATCTCATTACCACGTATAGAATCACAGCACTTCAAATTCAGATTTTAAACCTGTCAATCTTTATTTCATACCACTAACACTGTGGCTGTCAGGCTCTTTGTGGCTTATTGGCAGGGCTGAACGGTGTGATTTGAAAGCAAATCGCACGATATCCCTGCTGCTGAGAGCATCTTGAGGAGGTGGTTTCAGCAACACTTTAATTTGCAGCACTTCAGGATAGATAATACAAGAATCCACCCCCAACTACCAAAGCGTCTTCAAGGTCGCCTTTGGTACCGTCCCTCAAGTTTCAAGGTATCATCTATTAACATCATGAAAGGACTCTTCAATAACATTAGAAAATTAACCCCAAGTTGGACTTCTGCACATGAGTTTAATTTGATGAGAAGTTGGCTTTTTGTTAGCATGAGGAGTTGTAATAATAATAATAATAATCCTTGCATTTGATTTAGCGCTTTTCATGTCTTCTAGACGTCTCAAAGCGCTTCACAGAATATGCTGTAAAGTGAATTGACTGTATATTTGTGGGCAAAACACGGCAGCCAATTGCGCACAGCAGTGTCCCACAGACAGTCGTGGATTGAAAATGACCAATTTATTATTGTTTTGTTTTAGGCGTGTGAAGTAAGGAAACTTGCCCAAGCTTTTGTCCTGTCTGGAAATGAACCCAGGTGTCTCGCTTGCAAGGCGAGTGCTCTAACCACTGAGCTACAGGACTCCACTATATGGCTGGCATATAGGAAGCTCTGCACGCAGTAAATGTGGAAATGGCTGGTTGGAATTTTATAGCCCCCAACTCCTGTCTCAGAACCAGGCATCACTGTAGTTCTCTTGGTAAATTGTGTATAAATCCAAAGGGTGGACCTTTGATTTCTGTCTTGGAATGCTGCCAGTCTAATTTAACGAATCCTGATTATTCACAGAACTCCACTGGCAAAAGATACACATGATTTTCCAAGAGCATGATATGTAGAATCTCTAAATAACCCAGATAGCGGTAAAAAAAATCAACCATTACTAATGCTCAATGCTTTGTCTTCTTTGTTTCTCTTTCTCTTCCTCCCTCCCTTCCCCCATCAATTCCTGCCTCTTCCAGATTCAGAACTTGCCTTGATGTACAATGATTCATCAGTCCTAGAGAATCATCATTTGGCCGTTGGCTTTAAGCTGCTACAGGAAGAGAACTGCGACATTTTCCAGAATTTGACCAAGAAACAGAGACAGTTGCTGAGGAAGATGGTCATTGACATTGTAAGTTAAAGGGCCTCTAAGGCATGCTACCCTGTTTGAGTCTAGGTTGCAATAGCCTGGTCCAATAATCTTCTCAATTTAGGTCAGTTTCATAAAATGTGAACTCCAGTGACTATGCTTATGTACCAAGGCTGAGCTTGAATTTGTTTTCATTTGAAATGGAGGATTATTATTACTTTCACATATATTATGGTCGAAGAACAAGCAGGCAAGGGTTCCGGGTTGCAAGGCCAGTATCATGACAGAGACCAGGAAGTGGTTCTTTATAGAGAGAAATTAATGATAGGTATGGATTACCAGGAAGGGTTGTTGAGGCCAAAGCACTGCGTTCATTCGAGAAACAGTTTGATGCTACAATGGGAGGATGTGGGATAGGTAAACTGGAAAGATGAGATCAAATTCTAAGGGTCTTCTTCATCCGAAACTCTCTAGTGCTCTTGTGATACTGAATCCTGCAGTCAACAACAACAACAACAAAATGACATTTGTAAAGCGCCTTTCATGTAGGGAGGACGTCCCAAGGCACTAGACAGAGAGTTACGGACCCGGGGTGGGAGAGGGAGGAGAACAGGGAGATTGAAAGCATGGTTGAAGAGGAGGGTCTTTAGGTGGGGCTTGAAGGAGGTAAGGGAGGGGATGAGGCAGAGGGACTGCGGGATGGAGTTCCAGAGGGTGAATGTATTCCATTTCTCAGTAGTGTCATCACTTATGATGTGCAGAAAACTCATTATAAAGAAATCCCCACAGATCTGCAGACATGAATACTATAAAATGATTTTACACAATTTGCCGCTGATGTATGATTTGAGGTATCTAACTGTCAGGCGGTGTGATATTTTATAACTAAGAACATTTCCTCATATGGTTCCAAACCTTATCTTTCAGGTTCTTGCTACGGATATGTCCAAACACATGAACCTTTTAGCTGACTTGAAAACCATGGTAGAAACAAAGAAAGTGACCAGCTCTGGTGTACTTCTCCTGGACAATTACTCAGACAGGATACAGGTAAGCAACATTTTATTAAGATCAACAAAAATCAGAGGGGCAGAAGTCTTCTTATTGCATCGTGTGCATAAAGGAGGCATGGTTAGGAACAAAATAGTTGATTTGTTTTTTATTCGGATATTGGAATAAGTTTAATTCCGAACTTTTTTTCTGTTCTCCCTTCCTCTCCTGAGGAGAAGGCTGACTCTTTGCTGTGCTCTTTCCTGGATTATCTTCTCCAATTTTTCGTGATTAGAAAACAAGTGTCAGCTGTGCGCAAATGTGCTGTGGTTTGCATATAAATATACAGTCATTACGCTTCACAGTAAATCCTGTGAAACACCTTGAGACCTGCTTTGAGACCATGAAAGGCACTGTACCAAATGCAAGGATTATTATTATTATTAGATTAATCAGATTCACTCTGGCTTGAGCTTTTTATGAACTGAGCCATTGGAACTCTCCATTAATTAATTATGAAGCTTTTAGGATTGCATATTCATTAAGAGTAATTACTAATTTTAAATCACCCTGTAGAGGATTACACTCACTTGCAATCTCTATTAAAAATAAAGTAAGACGGAAAATATATTGTTTTGATCTTATAGGTTCTGCAGAACATGGTACATTGTGCAGACTTGAGCAACCCCACAAAGCCTCTGCAGCTGTACCGTCAGTGGACAGACAGGATCATGGAAGAATTCTTTCGCCAAGGCGATCGAGAAAGGGAAAGGGGAATGGAAATAAGCCCCATGTGTGATGAGAACAATGCTTCTATTGAAAAAACACAGGTAGGTCCGCACAGCGAGCTGTAATGTACACTGAGCCTAGACCTGCGTCAGACAGCAGTGTATTCACACACCCATTCACACAGTGCAATATAAATTTACATTTATGTAGTGCTCACATCGAGAGGATGTTCCAAAGCTCTTAATAGTCCTAGCTGGGCGAGCTGGGGGTGGTAGCTAGGGGAGGTGAGGAAGGGAAAGATGACCGAAAGTGTGGTTGAAGAGGTAGGTCTTGCAACAGGAATTTAACAAGGGGAGGGAGGGAGGGAGAAAACCTGAAAGGCTGCCCGTCCGCCTGCTGATAGTTAGATGGACAGAGCAGGTACATGAAACAGGCTGGTGTTCGCTGAGCAAAGGGAATGGCCGGGTCAGTTGGCTTTAAGGAGGTCGCAGGGTAGGGTGGGATGCCCTACACTTGTCACACACTTGAACTATTCGGTTTTAAATCTAAGATAGCGAACATGTCATCATCCTTCCATAGGAAATTTCTAAAATCCTTTGTGAAATAATAAAAATGTCCACAACTTCACCTGCTCTATTTTGAGAAATGTAACTTGATTCAAATTACTGTAGTAATTTACATGATTGTGTACTCATTATTGTATTTTTGGAAGAATCTGTATCTGGCAACACCAGAGAGTTGGTTTTGAAAAGGAGCCATCTTAGCTTCCCCGACATTTTGTTAAACTATGAGCAAAAGCTATTTATAAATATAACTATTATTGTATAAGCATACAATAATGATGGAATTTATCATGCACTGATGGCTGAAAGTAACATCTTTTTACAAAGATGCAATGAAAGCATTGCTATTTTAAGGAATTAATGTACAGGATGTCTCTGTACGCTATACTCGTCTACTTCAAGTTAGTCAGGGAGAGCATGAAGTATCACACACTCACTTTCTCTTCCTCGTTTCTCACTACTTTTCTCTCTGTTTATGTGTTCTAGGTTTTTAATCCATTCTCTATCTCTGCTCTCAGTGTCTGTCGTCCCTTCTTCCCCTCTCAGTTCCTCTCTTCTCATGCCCTGTAACGCTCTCTCTCTCTCTCTCTTTCGAAGTTGTTTTGATCACTAAACCACAGCAACGCCTGACCTCTTGACACTCAGCGTAGAAGGGGTCCTTTGTTCCCAAGCACGATTCTGGTGTCATAGATCATTGCTGAATCAGTAGACCATTCCATAACTAAAGTTTTTTTAGAAAATAATTGCAACATGTTGACTTCATTGAGAAACTTGGTGTGTTGCCATGTGAACCTTGGAAGTAACAATGTCATTTGAATTTACTTCACAACAGGTGGGTTTCATAGACTACATTGTCCATCCACTTTGGGAGACATGGGCTGACCTGGTCCATCCTGATGCACAGGACATGTTAGATACACTGGAGGATAACAGGGAGTGGTATCAGAGCACAATCCCACAGAGCCCTTCACCTGCACCTGATGAGGATGAGGAGGGACGGCCAGGACAGGTCGACAAGTTTCAGTTTGAATTAACACTAGAGGAAGATTGTGAATCAGACACTGAAAAGGACAGTGGTGCCAGTCAGGGAGAAGATGACAACAGTTGCAGTGACTCAAAGACACTTTGCACCCAGAACTCTGAATCCACAGAAATTCAACTTGATGACCAGGGAGATGAAGAAGAAGATGATGATGATGCTCCGATAGAAATTTGTGCAGTGGAGGAAGAGGAAGAGGCTGCAGACACATAACAATGTTGACGGGAAAAATATCTTGGAAACGGCTTCCAAGCACACATGTAGCCACAGCCAAGTCTCACCCTCATCTACCAGGACTTTGTACGTCACAAAGTCTGGAATCATCTAGATGACTTTGCACTCAGGAAATACCGTCAGAATTTCAGCTCCACGTCAACATTAAAGCATGGGGGAATCCATTTCAAAACTAGTTGACCACTGCTACTATCAGATTCGCAAATCTGACATAGGAATGGATTGTTTTTTTTGGTGAGGACAAAAATATTAAAAACCAAATGTGGGTTATGTTTTCACAAGGCTGTTAGAGGTTTGAGCTTTTTCTTTTACCGATGAGAAGAAAGTTACAATATCAATTTATGTTGATATGATTATGCTGCGGACTCTGGTTTCAGCAAACCTTTCGATAATGACGCATGAAGCGCACAGTATTGTGTGAGATTGAGCTCAGTGAGGATCTGTCACCAGTGGGAAGATCACCTCTGGAAATCATGAGACGTTTTATAAGTTCAAGTCTTCCTTGAAACCTGACTGTAAAAAACTGTACAACTTATAAGTTGTACTGACCTCTTTTTGTATCATATGTAATACAGAGAACTTTTTTAGATTTTACTTTTATTAATACAGATTTATGGAGGTATTATATTTAAAAAATACTTTGAACTTTCATCTGTAATCGCTAGATATTACAAGTAACTTGCAAGTTCTCTGTACAAATCTTAAATACTGAGTACTAGTAGTTCTTGGTCATGTTGCACCTTGTGATTTTATCACTTAAGATAGCTTCAGGCAATTATTCTTTGTAGGTTTGTAACACAAATGCCATACACCTGGACTCCACACCTTTCTTCATCGCATCTATTAGCGGCATCGAAAAGGCATTGGATTTATAAGAAGCACTGTTCCTTTAAATGCTGCTCAGACAGGTAATGGAAACATCTCAAAAGCAGAATAATCGATCTAGAGGAATGGTAGGCCGTCTCAGGAGTTGGGGATAAAATGCACTGAATTTCACAACACGCTTTTTCTTGTCAAAGTGCGGTCGTGAGTGACGCACTGCTTGTGTGTTTTTTAAAAAAACAACGTTTTTTTTGAAAAAGCAAAACTGCATTAAGTGGCTTTAAGATTCTGATGAAATCTTTCCATATAAAATTGTGAGGAGTTTAATAGACTACTGTATAACAGTGCTTATAGCTTCCAAATCAGTACACTCTAGCTTGCAAGTTACTGTACCAATAGAATGCTTTCTCCACCTCCTTCCCCATGGATATTATGATGAAAGTATGTAGGTAGAATAAACTGTAAAACTTGAATAGATCTGGCTGTTAAGGAGCACCTGTTGAATGAGCTCGTTTTACTGCATTATTTAATTTTTGGTGCCATACCTATTTTTTTCCTCACCAGATGACCTTACCTGTAATCCAGTCTTGTTTCTCTCTGTTTACAACCATGTATTTATTGAACTGTACATACTGTAATGTTTATTGTAAATTATTGATTCTTATTATAACATAATTCCTAACAGGGTGGTGTTGCTGTATTGGAAACTCTTGGTCAGAGAATGGATATACTTATTCCTGTAAATTTATCTGTAATATTATCACCTACAGCTTGGCTAAGGAGAACTTTGAGGAAATCAAAACCTGACGTAGAACAGTTGCAGGTCTTTGGCCCCAGGGCTGTGCCTTAACTTTCTCCAATGTATTGTTACTATCTGCTGCATTTCAAAGCGTAATAGCTGAGTGACAGTTCGATGAAAGGGGAGATTCTTTTTCCAAAAAAACAAGAGCCTCCTTTTTTGACACGCAAACTGTAGATTTCAGCAGCCCTGGCCCAAAGGAATTGGATAATTTTTTGTTTATTGAGTTCGATAGTAATAAAAGGGATACACAAACAAAATGCTAATTACAGAGACTCCTGAACAATTCATTTTGCTTTGAATATGTCTTTGGAACGCCAACTTGTTTGGAGGTTGCTGAAGAAAACTCTTTCAGTGTTTTCCTAGTCTCTTACAGTCTACAGTTTAGTACTGTATATCATGCTCACAACCTTCATAAAATGTTTTTATATGCAATGAAAAATAAAAGCATGAGTTGATTCTACTTGAACACCACCAGTTTACTTATCCGTGCGTTTATATTAGGACGTAATGACCTGCAGGTGACTGTAAAACAGAGACCTGAATACCAGTAGTTTAGTTATAAACAGAAACAGGACTTTATGATCAAATCACCATATTAGACAGAGATGTGAACCCCATCAGTTTACTTACCCAGGCATTATATTACATTATATTAGGACTTCATTATTTGTTTAGACTACAGCGGTACCTGAATGATGTCCCGAACCCTTTCTCTTGCCAAGTGCGCCTAATGTGGAATTTATGGAATTGAGCAGCATACATCCTTCCAGGCGGAGAGTGCACATTCCATTCCAACAATCCATCTCTAGGATTTCCATGCGTACGTGGGAATTCATGGCATTCTCAGTTTGGTTTGGATACTCTTAAGTTTCTGCATGTGTCAGACACCTGGCTGGCCAACAGATCACCATATAACAGAGACTTGAACAACACCAGTTTACTTATCAATGCATTAGGATTTTATAATCAGATCACCATATAACACAAACTTAACCACCATTGTTTAAATATCTATTTTGTTATGAAACAAAAGCAGGGCTTTATGACCAGGTAAACAGAGGATGTAACACAGAGGGTGTTTATCCAGACATCAGTTTTATTATCTTTATACTCAGCTTATTTTGAACAGCTGTAGTCTCAAGATGATTTTGAAAAGAAAGGGCTTCCTCTCACCTCGATTTTGTAACCGACTTTAGATTTTCTCTGATATCACTCACCATTCCTGACCAGAAAGGTGGCTGATAGCCCCTTTGTATGTGAAGTCATACATGTTATTGAGATCCTCGTCCTCACTTTCAGATCCCTTCACAGTCTTGTCCCCACCCTACTTCTTTGAACTCCAAAAACTCTGCTTGGCAGTTAATGGTGTGCTTCACATCCCGCACCCTCCCCATCCTACGGTCAAGCTTTCAGGCTTTCTGCCCCCCAATCCTTGGCGTCTCTTCGCCTGGCCCTTACCTTGCCTCTTTCAAGGTCGGTCTCAAAATCTTTGTATCTAGCCGCGCCTTCACTCATCTTCCCATCCCCTTTGCCTCATCATTCTTGAAGCAACTCGGGTGCTGGTCCAGAGAAATTCAGCTTTACAGTGGAGTTATGAATCTCACAGCAACATGCATTCATTTAAGGAATCTAAGGAACTTTGAGAGAGTTTTTCCTTGTGCTAGTAAAATTAATGCTTCAATAGTAATAGGAGAAACAGGTTTCTCTATTTTACATTAAGGGATACATAGACAGTATAACATGCACACATTCAGCCAAACTGTATATGTGCCAGTGTTTATGCTCCATATGAGTGTGAGTCTGCACTCCTCCTAATCCCTTTGCCCACATCCCTCAATTCCCTTCTCAAGTTCCTCTTAAATGCACTGATGTTTTTCGCTTGCACCACAGCTTCCAACAGCGAGTTCCACATTCTCACCACCCTCTGCGCTTCCTCCTAAACTCCTTTTTAGTTCTGCTACTGGGTATCTTATATTTACACCTTAGTTTTGAACTCACTAACGAGTGGAAGCCGCCTTTATTAATCCTTTCACAATTTTAAGCAGCTCAATCAGGTCCCCTCTGAATCATCGTGTTTCCAGACAAAAAAAGCTCCAACTTATCCAATCTTTCTTGATATCTGTCGAAGAGAGAAATTGCCAATTTTCTCCCAACTACAAATGGTCAGCGAGAAGCAGTGTTGCTGACAACAGCATTCAGAGCATTTAATTGTTGCCTTCGGCTGGTTCTGCTGTGAAACTACACTTTTCCACTCTTAATAATAATCCTTGCATTTGATATAGTGCTTTTCACGTCGGGAGGATGTCCCAAAGCGCTTCACAGAACACATTGTAAAGTGAATTGACTGTATATTTGTGGGCGAACGCGGCAGCCACTTGCGCACAGCAGTGTCCCACAAACAGTCGTAGATTGAAAATGACCAATTTATTATTGTTTTGTTTTTTGGAGGGATTATTATTAGGCGTGTGGAGTGAGGAAACTTGCCCAAGGTTTCGCCCTGCCTGGAATTGAACTCAGGTCTCTCGCTTGCAAAGCGAGTGCTCTAACCACTGAGCTACAGGTCTCCAGGTCTCTTCTGAGACTCTCTGAATTTTGGAGCATGTCAGTGTGGTCCCAGTGGGCAGCAAGTTAGACATCTGTTCGCAGAATGCTGCAACTTCAGCAGCAGGTGTTGAGTCGACACTAAGTCATGCCAAATGCTGAAACTGTAGTCGCTATGGTATTGTAATACAATATAATTTGCATTCAATATAGCGCCTTTCATGTTGGGAGGATATCTCAAATCCTCGACAGTCCTAAATGCTTTGACATTGTCTTCGAAGCATGGGATAGTGGTATTATCCAAAGAGGAGAGGTTGAAAGACAAGTTGGAGGCTGTTAGTGAGGCAAACTCTCCACATGTATCTGCAGGAGAGTGTCCTCAGGCCCAGACTCCTTGGTCACCTCACCAATCCCAGCACTCTTTGGAATTATTGATGGATAGATAATGCAATATTCTAAAGTCGTCATGGCAGTTTGAAGTTAATAACAAGCAAGTGGGGAAGGCAGAGGTGACTATAGTGGGGAGGTTGAAGAGGGTAGGTCATAAGGTGGAATTTAAAGATGGATAAACAGAGCGCAAGATGGAGGCATTGAGTTTCAGAAGTTAGGGGCATCGTGGCTGAAGGCGTGACCACTGATCGTGGCGTGGAAGGCTAAGGGAATGTGCAGCTGTGCCTAGGGACAGGCTGAGGAGTAGGGTATGAGCAGGTCTGAGAGTTTGGGAGGTACCAGGGTATGCAGAGATTTATATGCAAGGGTGAGGATTTTGAAATCGAAACCTTTGGAGACATGGAGCCAGTGAAGCTTGGTGAGGATTGCGGTGATGGGAGGCGGAGGTTGGTGCAAGTGAGGATGTGGGTGGCGGAGCTTTGGATGAGCTGGACCTTGTGGATTGTAGAACTGGGGAGACCAGCAAGGAGTGCATCTGCGGAGTCAACACCACAGCTAAACATACAGTCACATTCAAATAGTACAAATAACCCCTCAAGACTGAAGCGAACACTTAGAGGAAACTTTTGAAAATTTCTTAGATTTGGTATAGGAGGATGTGCCAAAGCACTTCACAGGATATAGTGTAGTGACTATGTGTTTATGGGAAATCGTGGCAACCAACCCATGCACAGTAGTATCCCACAAACAGCGATGAAGAGAAGGACCAACTTTATTTTGGGGGATTGCTGTGCTGAGCTGGAAACAAACTTCTGTCTCTTTTTGTATAATGCCATGGGATCTTTCACATTCACCTGAACAGGCAGACGTCTAAAGTTTAACATCTCATCCAAATGATGGCACCTCCCAATACAGCACACCCCCAACATTAAACTGGCTTTAAACTATAAGCACTCCAAGTGACAACATGGGGCCGGAACCCACAATCTTTTTGACTCAGAGGCGAGAATGCTACCATCTGAGCCAGGCTAATACTGGAGATCTCAGGAATTTACATGGCTATCTCAGGAATTTTTTAAATATTTTTTCAATAAGTAAAGCAACACATGTGTTCTGCTCAGCCGGGTGCCCTACCGTACGCAGAAACCCATCACCGTGTTTAAGAGTATCCAAACCAGCTGTGGAAAAAAAGTTGAATTTCTTCACCCCATAGGTGAGTGCTCTGTTGTTGCATCCAAGGAAAAAAGTATCAAATTTATCAAACTCTATGTTCAAACATAACATCAAATGACTCTTGTGAAAATAGATTTTGAGCTGTTGCCACCCTTTAAACCATACCTCATGTTATTGACGTGTTCCTTGACTCTGTATTTACGTCAAGGAAAGAAATGTACAGCAATAACAGGATGTGTGTGATACATAACTTTGCAATCTCTTGACGTAACAAAGAGTAAATTCATTACAGTTTCCTGCTGACATGACTATTACCTCAGAAACTGGCTTGTTCACATTAACCAACCCTGGGCATCGTCAGTCTTTTCCTGGTATCTATTCTCCCCCCAAAAACACCCCGTTCAGTTAGTGAAGAAGAAATTTTTCTTTTAAAAAGGAAATAGGCAGATTAACTTTACAGAAAATTAAATACAATACAAAATTACATTTATATATCATCTTTCAACAACAACAACAACTTGCACCCCTCACGCAGGGTGACGTCCCAGAGCGCTTGACAGTGGCGGAGCACGACTCAGAGCCGGGGGAAAGGGGGAGGTGATCGTAGGCACGGTCGAATAGGAAGGTCTTCAGGCGCGACCTGAAAATGGGGAAGGAAGGGACATTCACATCAGGAGGACGTCCCAAAATGCTTGACAATTCTGACTGGGCATCAGCGCTGTGGGTGAGAGCTGGCGGGGGTTGGGTGAGCGAGGAGGGGAAAGATGACCAAAACAACAACAACAACCAGATTTCATTTATAGAGCGCCTTTCACATCGGAAGGACGTCCCAAGGCGCTGGACAGTGGGTCAGGACCCGAGCAGGGGGAAATGGTCAGGGTGAGGGGAGGGAAGGGAGGGAGCGAGGAGGGGGTAGAGAGTCGAGAGGGGAGCTGAAGGCACAGTCAAAATTGGATTAAGTCAGAGCGACCTGGGAATGTAGTTCCAGAGAGTAGGCACAAGTGGCTGAAAGCCTGGCCACCAACTGTGGGGCAGACAGAGTGCAATGTGGAATTGGAGCGTTGGCAGACTAAAATGACTGGGTTGGTAAGGGTGAGGGAGATTGCTTTGGCAGGGGAGGAGGGGTGGGGAAGGAGAAGAGGGGCAGCAAGACCATAGAAGGATTTAAATGTGAGAACAAGGATCTTGAATTTGATCTGCTGGGGGATAGGGAGCCAGTGGAGATGAACGAGCAAGGATTAGGGTGATGGGTTTGCAGAGCCTGGTATGGGTAGAAGTACAATAAAAGTAAAGCTAAAGTTCAACTTAAAATAGAACATTTTATTTTTTAAAAAAAGAAAACAACAGAGTCAATAGGAAACAGGAAT